AGGGTTTAAAGTTGGGAAAGTACTAGAAATAATAAACAAATAAACATTTATTGATGATGACGTAATCGCGTAACCAATCAAAAACGTGGGTGTGATCGGTGAATTTGACATTCTCAAATTATATTACTTTTAAAAAAATTCTATTATTATAAATAATCTTTTAAGTATAATTATAAATTTGCACCGTAATTTGTATTTTTTGTGAAATATAAATTCGATTAGTTTCGATTATCAAAAATCGAAAATCGAATCTTAAAATCGATATTTGCGAAACGATTAATCGCGATTAATCAATTTTAAAATCGATTCCAATAATGGGAATCGATTCCAATCCCTACATTGAGCACCACGAAGAATATTTTCAACTTTTAAGTTCTGCTTATTGTTGCTCCTTTAAAACTCATTAACTATAGTATAGTGTTCGATTAACTTAAAGTTACCCAGCGTTCAGCGACGATGCCAAGTTTCAATATAATTTTGTGTTCTTGGAGCACCTATCTCCATTAAGTCATGTACAGACTATAGTTGTGGTGAGAAAAGAGGCGAGGCATGAGTTATATCTCCATTCCGTATTGACATCATTGTTTTTCTATTTGCTTTCGTATTTTCGTTCTTGTATTTCATTCCTTATTATGTTACTTACTTTATGGATTTATATTTTTTTATTTATCTCCCCTTTGTCTTCTACCATTTTCTCTTTTTTTCGTATCTTCATTTTCTTAATCTCTCTTTTATATTTTATTATTTAGTTTAGTTAAGTGTGAATTTGAAAGCATTTTATTTTCTAATATCTCTTTTATTTACATTATCCATCAATATCGCCTGAATGTCTCATATCTGGAAATGATGGATAGAATACTGACGTATGATCATATATTTTCTAAAAAATACATCACTAAAATAACATAACAAAATTAATCTTAGAGATAGTAGTTCAATTTAAATTATATTTCTTTAAGGAAATTGTGATATCTACCCCTTGTAAATTAAACAACTTCCCTCCAAATAATCTTGATTTCCACTTGTGGGATAACCCCAAAATAAATCAAAGATGGTATTCTTGATGGATTCTGCATAAAGTACAATAAACAATTGTATATGAGACTTCCTGGCTAAATTTTATAATCTTGTAACGTACAAGGTGTGGTAATTTGATTCTTAAATATATAACGAAATGAATTTAAATTAATTGAGTTAATAACCAGTTTCCATCTCACATAAGACGAAATAATTTTAATAAATTACCTGCAATTCAACATCATTATAAATTAATTTTTGTTTACTTTCATATTTTTTTCTAATTTTTTTTCTATTTTTAATTTGATTGCACTTTTGCCCATTTAATGATACAACATAAATTTCTTTCGTATTACTATTCTCATCAGCTGCATTAATATTTTGTGTTGTTTTGCCTTTCCAATATTGTCTAAAGATATTAGTCTTAATTCTTTTACGGATAATTTCTCTGAGCATTCGGGACATTTACGAATTTTTAAAAGCTTAACGCAGTTCTTATAACGAGTATCTATTAATAATTCAACAATCACAGTATATTAAGATATTGTCGTATCTTAATTAATAAAATTTTATTTAAATGTCGCACAAAAAATTTTCACATAAAGTCCATAAATGCTCTATTAATAATAAAAAGCAAGGTCATCTAATATTCCATTATGGATATACTTAAGAATTTCATTAGGAGTAAGTTTGTTTATATATAATTGAAGCCTCGGAAGGTTGGAAAAAAATGATCAGAATTTTTGGTGTTGATTTATGTGACGAGGTTTTTTGCAGAATTTAAATATAATATAATTACAGATAAGCATAGTTAGATAAATAAATGTAGTCATATATTACTATGATTAAATATAGCCAAAACGTAACCATGTTTAGTTAACGCAAAATTATACATTTCCATAAAAACCATATTACACATGATTTTATACTTATTTTTTATTCTTTAATAAAAATAAATTTAGAAATAATAAAAAAAAATAATAATATTTAGAAATAATAAGGATTGGGGTTATAAATAAACTATAAGTTTAAAACGGTTTTAGGAAAGAATTTTTTAAACCATAATATTTTGTGCTTTTTTAAATTTTAAAATTGAAATTTGACTTTGAAAAGCTACTTTTCTTCAATATAAAAGAAAAATATAATGATAAAATCAAATAAAACATTAAACTTACAACCCTAACTCCTAATTTCTAAACGAAAATAAATCTGAAAATAAAATTCAAGCTTAATTTCGTTTCGAATCCAAGAAATAATACTCAAGTTCTTGAAAAATGACTTAGGTTTGTTTATTCAGATATGAGTTTTTAGATAAATATTACATCGGAGTTGTTCATATAACTCTTTAATTTCTTTGGATATTGATTCCCATTCTTGCAACTTAATTGATTCTTCGTTAAGTTCGTTAACTTCGATCTCTTCTCTAGCTTTTTTAATTAATTCTTGATTATCTAACTTCCAGGCTTGCCAGTCATAATTTCTATAGGAGTCATCTTCGATTTTGTAATCGCTTAATTGCTTAGCTAAGTTTCCAGTACAAAAAAGTCTTCTATTAAAGTGACCTCTTCCAAAATTAAAGCCAGAAGCAACGGCATTGACGTTAAAAAATTCATCAGGTAAATACTCTAAACCACCATCAATGTTGGTATCAGCGATATTTATTTCCTTTAAACTAGATAAATTTCTTAATGGTTTTAAAGAACCAGTAAAAGGATTGTTACTTATGCATAATATACGTAAGTTAATAAAAGGAGTAAAACACTTCAAATTTTGAGTAGGAAAATTGTTGTTGTCCATGCGAAGGGTAATTAATTTGGCAGGATTTTGACTTTTTAAGAAATCTAAATTTGATAATCTGTTATTACCACAAAGAATTTTTTCAATTTTATTTGAACCAGATATGGTCAAATTGGTGAGTTGATTATTAGAACAATCCAATTCACGGAGTTGAGGACAATCAGATACGTCTAATGTAGTAATTTTTTTGTTACTGATATCCAATAATTCTAAATTAAGGAATCCTTTTAAAGTTAGAGAACCTTCTAAACTAATATTTTCATTGAGTGTTCTGCTTTTCATATCATCAATACCGAGAAGAAGAGTTGATAAAGGCCTACCCCCGCCAAATATTGAAATTATATTGTCTTCGATTCTTTTATTAAACTCTTCTTTTGGACCTATTCTTTCGACTGCTCTTTTGGATTCAGCAGTTGAGTATTTTCCATCAAACCATTCCTGAGCGTTTACCATAATGATAATGTAATATTTTAATTCGACTTGTTCTTCAGGATATTCGTATTTTTTCTTTTTTTTTGCGTTTAATCCTAGTTCCTAGTTCAATCACCTTAAATTCAAATTTTAAAGGAGGTGAATCTATTTTTTTTCTTTTTGCAAATTTTTTTTTTATATTACTAACAAAGAAAAAAGTTTTCTAGTTTCTAAAATGCTTGCCAACTAAACTAAAATTATATAAATATTTCCGAGATTTATTAAAACGAATACTAAAAATAGCTAATAAGAATTGCCGAACTAAGGAACTTATTAACAAACTTGAAAATTTAAATAAAAAAAAAAAAAAAGAAAAAAAGAAAAATGAGGTCAAAAATTATTGGACATCATTTTGAATATCGGCACGCCATAACTCGTGACTTTGCATGTGCACCATTGTAAATTTGTAAATTTTAACCATAAACGGATTAGCCGGATTATGTAATACGCCTACACTAAACTAAAATCAGTCGATAAAGAAAAATTCTGTAAAAACAGGAAAAAATAACATTAATAAAATCATCGAAACGGAGGATAATTTTTATGTAACAGAATTTATATTTAATCAAGATAGTATGTATAATATCTATGTTAAAAAGTGAAGTACTTGAGTTGTAGTATTATTTTACTACGCAATGTGATTTAATACCAAAACTGACAAGTCATTATATGGGATATCGGAACATAAGAGGAAGGAAATCGACGGATTGTTGGTTTCTAGTATAAAATCTACCAAAAAAAAAAAAATTTTTTAGCAAATTAATATCAAAAAAAAAATCAAAAAACTCCATTAAAATAATAATAATAATAATAATTTAATAGATTCTATTATTTGATAGGCTTAAAAAAAAAAATATTTATATTAAAAAAAAGTATAAAAAGATCACCTTTTTTTTATGTACAAATACTTTAAAATATAATATTAACTTTATTAGTTTATGATTAATAACTTTTTTTTTTCCAAAATTCATGACAACAACGCAATAACTTTATTTAACCTAACGTTTTATCGGAAATCTCAAAACCTCCAATTCCAATACAAAAGGTTATAGGCCAAAAAATTAATTACCCGTTTACAATATTAAAAAAACAGCTAAAAAAAATAAAAAAAAAGATAAGTGCAAACTCCTTATAAAACACAAGAACTCTAAGCTAGTGCTACATTGAAGCTTGTATGAATTCTATGTAGACTGTTTTAATTTTCGGGACACCACCATATTTCAACGTCCGGAAGTCGTCACGTGATTGTATCGCTTCGGTATTTGTAGTTCCGATATTTTGTCGCACAACATTTTTATATAGCGATCAAACTATAATATATTTGTTTGACAAATGAAAAATAAAATGGCGTAACTTCTAATTCCAGTATCCCCCTTTTCTTTCTTTCTTTCTTTTCGTTTGACAATATGACGTGTTCAAAGTTATTTTCAGGAGATTTACCAGAGTTAATAGATGATATTATACAATATTTTCATAATGATTATAAAACGTTACATTCATGTATATTGGTTAATAGATTATGGTGTAGTTTGGCAATCCCATTATTATGGGAAGATCCTTTTTCAAGTCCAACTAAAAATCATCATTTTATTGAAATTTATTTACATTTTTTAAATGATGATTATAAAACAAAATTAAATGAATATGTAATTCATAATGGCATATTAAAATCGAATACATTATTTAATTATCCTAAATTCATTCAACATTTAAATACATATGAAGTTTATAATTCTATTGAAGAATGGTTTGCAACTGTTAGGTATTCAACAACCAAAAAGCCAGTTTATTCTATGAAAAATGCAAATTTATCATATTCACAAGTGTCAAATTTTAAAAACCTTATTTTTAGATCATTATTCCTATTGTTCATTGAAACCGAAGTCAATTTGCATAGTTTTGAAGTTATTTCTGTACATAGCGATGTTGATAAGATTATTGAATTAACTTTACAAAATCCAAATTTCATTTTTAATATCAAAAATTTTAAATTAGCCAGTAATGTGATGAATAATAATATAACAAGACTTTTAACATTAATCTATTCTAATTGCAATTCAATCTCATCACTTTATTTTCTATTTCCAAAATATGAAAAGGATTATTCAATAGTTGAAAAAAGTTTATCACAAATAATTAAATCTCAAGAAAATCTTAAAAAGATTTCATTTGATTGTAAAGGTTTCTCCTACTCCTTAAACCATTCCTTACTATCATTAAAAAACTCTAATTGCTTAAATACATTAAATACAATTGTATTTTGTTATGTTAATTTTGAAAATATGGATATTTTAAGTGAAGTATTTAATCAATTGAATGTTTTAGAATCAATTCATATTCTTTATTGTAAATCTATAGATTCTAAATTTATTCAACAGATTATTAATATTACAAAACCATTTAAATTAAAATCTTTATTTTTGAATGAAATGGATGAATTATTAGAACCATTAATACAAAAGTCTGGCAGTTATTTAGAAAATCTTGTCTATAATTCCCAACCATTACCACAATTTATTATAAAATATTGTAGTAAAATTAAAATTTTGTCTTCTTCTTTGAGATATATTCAAAATAATTATTTAGAATTCAACTTAATTGAAAATATTAAACAAAATCTTAATTATCTTATAATTGATGTTACCATTCGCTATTATGATAGTATTGATGATTATATTGATAATATTGATGATTGTATTGAATTAAGTTCAAATATATTACAAAATTTGGGACAAATTCTTCCTTTTAAATTAGAATATTTGGAATTGTATCTTGCAATTAATGGAAGTGATTTGGAAACATTTTTAAAAAATTCTCAAAATACCTTTATTAAAAAATTGTTAATCAAAAATATTAAAAAGGAAGTAACAGATGAAGATATTATTCCTTATATAAAGGAATATATTGTGAAAAAGAAAAGGGTTGATTATTTGGCTATTTTAGAAAGTATTAAATTTGGGCGTTTTTATTCTCTGTGGTATGAGATGAAGGGATTTGAATTGTATGGTATTCAAGTTTTAAATTATTTTGATTTGTCAATAGATTTATTTGAATTTGTACAAGAACTTTGAATTGTGAATAAAGTTCATTTTTTCATGATATTTTTTAATTTTGCTTGTATATTATTATACTTTTACCAGTATGTACAATAAATCTTGATTTAAAGAACTTGTCCTATAGGGCCGTGCAATAAATAAGCTTACCGAACATGCACCACCTAAATCATTTAAAATTATTTATTCTTAAGTTGATAAAAATAGCAGTATCATATTGTATTTACTGAGTTGCTACAAATTCACAATAACTATTTTGCCTAATTTTCAAATATTATGTCACAAGATATAATTATATCCAGTCTCATATTTGATATTTTCTTACTTAATCTCTTGATACCCAGTCTCATGCTTGATATTTCCATGTTTAGAACTCAAGAAGTTTCAAGTTCTTGACAATTAATTAAACCTTAATGAGTAGAGATTATTCATAGCTTTAAATTTTTTCCATTTTTCTTACTTTAACATTTATCTACAACGTTTTCAGACCCCTATTTACTTATTAGTTTGTGCCTTTGGTACTTCAAAAATAAGCAAATGAAATTTTTCGAGATTCAATGTGAATTTCTTTATACGGAAAAAATTCCTGATGCATGCATAAAAATTAGTTTTAAAATTTCAAATTTATATGCAAACTGCTAACTAAGATTACAAGTTTTCTTGATAAAGCTATAAAGATACAATTGAAAAAGTTCTATATACTGCTATTATATTATTATATTACGACATAAATTTCTTTCACTTCTCGTTCGGCCAATTCCTCCATTATACGAGAAGTTATTTGCGTTTTATTTCTAAATGCTTGCTGTTAATTAATTATAGATTAATATCTGTAAAATATTAAAAGATTAAAAGAACTGCGAAAATTTGCAAAAATTATTTACCAAAAAAAATTTGACTCTTTTTGTTGTTCCCATCACACAGTCAGCTGGCCTAATTATTGCAAACCAATCAATTTTATGAACCACCTTAAAAAAGTGATTAGTAATGCGAATCATGATTTAGTTGAAGACATAATTTTTTTTAAAAAAGATAATTACTATATGTACATGAAAGCTGTATATTAAAATAAAATAATCACCGACGCACACATAAAGATTTTCCTGTCATATTACAATTTTGATCCAACTGTAACCGACATAATATTTTTATGGAAATTTGATTCAGGAAAATCAGGAAATTTGACATCATCCCACTCGGGTGATGATACTTCATGTCCTTTTTTGAGACGAAGAGAATTCCTGGCATGTTACGTTTAGAATTTTTGAAAAGTGCTTGAACGGCAAATTAAGTACAAGCCAAACGTAACATGAGTTGTCAGTATCCTTTGCTCATAGCATCTTTTCCACCAATTTCTTGATCTCTCCTATTTCAACATTAATGTTTGTTATAAGGTCTGAATATTGGCACATTACTCGTCCTCGAACGTCAATATCGATAACTTCTAAAAATGGAGACTATAATAAAACAAAAAAAAACAAATAAATTATACTCAAATTCCATACTTAAAACACATGTGTACGCACCTGCTTATTTTTATTGCGGTTTCGGCATCCAATACATAAGCAGTTAAGATCATTATTGATAATGATCTTGTGTTTGATAAATATTTCCATTTTTCAGAAGAAGTACTATTGTCTAATTGGATAAATTAAGACTAGGTTACATTTTGTTTATTTTCAATCTTTGACAAAATTAACAAAATTTACCTTCATACTCTTTCCACTTCTTGACAGCATTTTCCGCTCTATCGGCAAGTTCATGCAATCTTTGGTTATAATTCGTTGACTTCGGTAATCTACGAATGTAATTAATTGAACGATCGAGATGATCCCTCATCTTATGTTCCTGTTTTAGAGTTATTAAGTGTTACAATAAGAATCAAATGCAAGAGATATTCATTTATAATAACTTACGTATATGAAGTTAGCGATTTTGTTTATGCAAAATTCAGTGATGCAAGCTTGATTATCAAATGTAGGATTTTTATATGAAAAATGTGTTCTTGGCAAAACAAGACGTATTAGTCCATGTAAATCAAAAATTTCAAAATTAGATGTATAATGAAGACCATACATTTGTGTAAGTTCAGATCGAATTGATAGCTTGAATAGTTCTCCAATTTCTGTTCGAACTTCATCTATATTTTTATTTGATTTTTTTATTTATTTGGTTGAACTTTTCATCCAGATATTTTTTCGTTTCTTTCCATCCCGTCATTTTCAAATTATACGACAAAGGTCAAAGAAAAAAAGAAAAAAAAATTATATGTTATTTATTATATTTTAAATAGTGATTCAAATAGATTAATAACAAACAATCAGAATAATAAACAATCAGATTCATAATTGTATTTGCATTGATAACCAGATTTGTACATAGAAAATAATCAAGGGATGACACTAGTCGAAAAAGGAATATTCGGCCTTAATACAATTTGGCCTATATTCGACTAAAATTAAAAAATTCCACTTCAATTAGTAATGATCTATGATTAGACATATATTCAATCTTGTTGAATAAACGTTACGCATTATGCGTTACGCATATTAAAAGTTTAAAAAAGGATCATCTTATTGCATTCTTTTTTAAACTTTTTTTAATTTTCTTTCTTCCCCTTCCCCTTTCCCTTCGTTCCTCTTTCCCACCTTTAACTTCCCTTCGTCCCTTTACTTTTCTTATACTTTTCCCCTTTCCCCTTTCCCTTAGTCCCTCAGTTTTTTTTCTTTTGTAGGTCCAAGACGCCCATTTAGAAGGCCGGACTCCTATTTCGAAGGTATATATATACCTTCAAATTTTATTTTGTTGTTTTTTAACGAAACGTTTTACTAAC